GCGAGTCTCTGGCAGGGCCAGTGCTGGTGCCACGCCAGGCGTCTGGGGGGCTCTGTAGGGACCAGCAGCTGGGGTGACTCGATTCCATGTGTGCAGCGAAGGCGGCTTGTTCCCTTTGGGCTGCTTCTTGCGTCTGCACAGGAGGCAGCCTCCCTCCCACGTGTCAGCTCCCGGCGCGTCCTGGTCCGGTTCTCGGCGCCGACGAGCAGCGCACAGCCTGCCCCCGCCCTCTCCTCGACCCCAGGCTGCTCTGCGGACTCCTCCATGCCCTCGGCTCTCTTCCCCCGGAGCTGGTGCCACCCCCCTGGGTGTTAAACTGTGGCCCTGTCAGCCCCTCACACCTGGCTCAGCCCAGTCTCGGGCTGGTGCTCCAAACCACGGGGCTTCCGTTATTCCCTTGGGGAGACTCACCCGTTGCTTTGCTTTATCCCCTTTACTCTGCCCTGGCTGTAGACAGTTACCACGGGCTGCATCCCACCCAGAGAGCGCGGAGCCAGACTTGTGCCATTTGGGTGCCTTGAGGCCTTTGGCAAGCCCAGCTAGAGTTCCTCCCCCTGCAGAGATTCGCTTATTCGTTCGTGGCTGCTCTGCCTACGGGGCAGCAGCCTCTTGCAGTGCAGGGTCAGACCAGAGCAGTGTTCCAGTGCCCTCTACACACCCTCTGGCCTCAGTTTCTCCCACTCCTGGATTGGCGAGCACCAGGCCAAGCCGCAGCCTCTGACACGCTACCGAGATGCCCATCGTAACCCTCGCCTTGCCCCCCCACACAGTGTGGGAAGCGGCAGCGCCGTACCCCCAAGATCAGCTGCATGCTCTTTGGGGCAGGGACTGTCCAGCACCTGCTCTATGAGAATAACAGGAGCAGCTACGGCTCCCGCCCCCCCCCCCCCCCGGTCCCTCCCCCCCCCCGGCAGCCAGCCTCAAGAAGGAATCCCAGCTAGGGCTTGGTCCCTGGTGAAAAGTGGGTGGGGTTAACCAGCCAAGCCGTGGACTTTGCACGAGTCAGGACTCTGGCCCCTGGGACGCGCCAGCCCAATGAGACGCACGGAGGGAGCCGCGGTGCCCATAACCCTTGGCCCCCTGCCAGGGACGTGTCAGTGACTTGGCAGCCCAGGGCCCCTCACCCAACGGGCTGTCGCGGCAGCCGGGGCCAGGTTCAGTATCTGGGGCTTCCTTTCCGTCCATAGCAATATGCCACACACAGCCTCATTTGCATATTTCTGGTGCAAGAAGCGGCGAGTGTAGACAGCCTGAGTGAGGCTGGGCAGAAACACCGTCCCACCACAGCTGTGCTGCTGTGTTCCAGCTGAGGGCTGGCCCCTCCCGTGGGCCCACTAACTAACCTGGCAGGGTCGCTCAGCCGTTCCAGACGACTGTACCGTTCCAGGGGGCTGATTTGTCTGGCAAGCCTCGAGTGTCGCCTCACTTACAAACTCAGATATAACACTACAAGCGTGTCACAGCGTGCTGACCCAGTGCTTACCGCTCAGTTTTGCCCTACAAAATAAATCGTGTTATAAATATTGTGCTCACACTTCAGTGCACCGCGCAGTGTAAGCATGGCACTGGCTGCGGAAACGGTGCTTTGAATGGACTTTGCTAGGGCTTTATGTACCCTGTTGTGACATGAGGCAAATGGCTAGGTGAGTCACCGTGTCCACTGGAACAGCGCTGCGTACCCCACTGCTCCAAACCATTTCAGACACGCGTCTAGTCCTGCCTGCGATTGTCATACACAGCTACAAGTCGCAGCACAGTCATGATCCACTGAAAATAGATTCTGTGGCTACATGCTGGAAACAGGGAGCATAAAGGAATCAGTCGAGGTTACTCAGGCTACATCTAGACTGCAGGCATCTTTCGGAAGAAGCTTTTCTGGAAGACAGCGTCTGGAAAAACGTCTTTCGAAAGAGAGCGTCCACCCAGCAAAAACGCAACAAAAAAGCAATCTGCTTCTTTGACAGTTAGCATCCATTCAGTGTGGCCACTAGCTCGCACTCATGTTGTGATTACTATGGACACAGGGCATGTGCTTTTTCCTAGAAGCTTCTTCCGAAAAACTCGCTCGTCTGTGTCCACATGGAAAGGCCGTTTTTCCAGAAAAACTGCAGCGTAGACACCCCTGTGTGTAGAATGTGCGCCGACCACGCCTGCTCCACAATGCACGTCCTCTGGTGAGCGCGCGGTTGTCTGCAAACGGCCGTAGGTCAGGAGTAGGCTCCCTGAGGCCAGTAGGCCGCACCAGTAGAAAACGGTTCTGAGGCCCAACGTCTGTTTCAAAGCTACTGTGAGGTACGTGCCTGCTTACTCCCCCGGCGGGTATTAGCCTAACCGCCTCTGCGCTGCTTGTGACTGCCCCGGCCAGCCCTTCTCGCCGCGGGTGACCTGGGTGTGTGGCGTCCAGCAATCCCGGCGTGGTGGCTATTGGCCAAGTTGCTCAGGGATTCGCCCCCCGCATGTTCCACAGGTCTCGGCCGGGGCACGCAGCTGGCAGCAGCTGGGAATGGCCGACGGGAGGGAGCACGCGCTAATTCCCTGGTCACGCCCTCGGGGGCACCGGGTCTTGGCCGCAGTCGGCAGACCTTTGGCCTGACCCCACCTGGCCGCTCTGCTACTAGCACCAGGAAGAGGGATGTACCAACCCCCAGTGGAAGGCCTGCTGAGCTCAGGGTGGGGCTGGAGACCTGGCTTACGGTCAGAAGCCTTTTCTGATTAACATCTGCGCAGGGTGGCCTGGCCGGGCGGCCTGCCTTGCAAGACGGGGCTGGAGGCTGTTGCCCGGAGGGTCAGAGTCCCAGGCTGTGCCTGGCCAAGGTGTGGGGGGGGCGCTGGCTGGGGAGTGGCAGTTACCCTGGCATGAAGCAAGGCTGCTTTCTCTCTGCTCTGGGCATGC